CAAGCTTCATCCAAAAAATCTTGCTTTGTAGAAATCGTATTTTCGAATCCATCTTCTAAAACGTCGTTGGAAGAATTGCGAAAAAAGTTCGAAATGCTTTGTCACCCCATGGATCTGCGCATCGTATTAAGAAGTAGTGGCTTGTTAAATGATTGAGTTTTTTTTGCTAAGATGACTACATTATAAAAGGACCTTCGTACTAATCGATATTAAAAAGTAACGCCAAAAGATTCGCTGTAAAGCGTCACAAGAGAAGATCGAACCAGCAACCTTCCTGATGGCCGGCATCGCTAACCACGCGGCACAATAAACTGCCCCCCCGCCGATGTGGCGACAGGGCGGGGCTAGCGACATGTCCCAATCGTCCCCAAAGTGCTATTGCTAACAAATACTTACCGTTTTGCGTTTCTTATTAGTGAGACAGCCCGTACGCAATTCACGTAGGATGATGAATGAAACTCTCGTTCCCTCAAACCGACTTTATCGAACCACGACAAGAATGATCACTATTCTTTATCCAGATTGTCGAACTATCACGAAGTTATTATATGAAAATTCATTCGACTATCGTCTTAGTATTTTCGCCTACTTTAGGGCCACGATGCTCTGAGTCAATGAAATTTGCCTGTGCTGAAATATTTGTTTGAGTGATTATGCCACTAATAAGCTTTTATGAATATCCCCACCCTCCAACGCTCTCTGGCAATCAGTAACGAGCGCCCCATGAAACGCCCCAGCCTGGCTATACACAATAATTGCGAGGAGATGTGCTCAACCACTAATCTGCGCCTTCCATGAAGGAGACGAAAAACAAAGTGACCGCTAGAAGTACCGGGAACCGCACAGTGACGAAAAAATTTATATGGATCAAATGAAAATAAAAGACAGAGGAGGAGAAAATAGGATAGTGCCTTTTAGTTTCGTTCTCAAATTGTTTGAGTTTATCCGAAATACCACAAGACCTCCGAACGTAGATGCTTTTCATTTTCGCGCTGGGATCGTAACTGCCGCTCCTTGTGCCTTGTTGGATGGATCAAATAAATTGGAAGGGCGATTGACTCACTACCACACGTTTCGTGGCATATTTGTTCAAAATAATCTTTTCAAAAATATTGCCTTGCAATATGTCAGCTAATATAACATCGACTGACACAGAATACGATGTTGTCTTGAAAAATCCGAGTGATGCTCCATTGTATGCGACTCGACGAATTTCGGAAAACACTTAATGAAAGAATGGTTGTCTCTGCGAAGTCGACTAGTATTGATTCTGATCTGAAGAGAAAGAAGACGTGGAGATGTGAACAGAACAAAAGTTGCACAAAAACTTTGTGTGGAACCATATTTAGAACCTATTATTAACCTAGCCCCAATTACCTATTAATTTGCATAAACAGTGTGCTATTAATTTTACTTATTATTAATAGTGATTCTCACGGGAATAAAGATGAGAATGATGCTGATAGCAATAATAATAATATTGAAATGATATGAGAAATATTGGTAAACTGAAGGGTTTAGTGAACGCCTTACTAGTGTTTCATATACAATGGAGGGACAGATTGATCTGATTCTAACATAATATAGATATACTGTTACAACGAGAGCGATGAGTGCTCCTTCATAGAACAGGATTTGATTTTTACATTCGCTCTCCGTTGAGATAATAATCATCGAGTGGCAAGGAGAATAATGTACAGCGTTACTTGAAGTAGCCAAAGTGACCAAAACCTTTCCACCAAAGATTAACAATGCTTCTTGAGATTTTTCCAAGATGACAGTCGTTGCTGTGACGGCAACGAATAATGCGATTAGTTCGTTGGCTGCTCAGTACATTACCTCCGACCCTCATGATGGTAGCAGCAACGATGGCACTGCTATAAGTAACAGCAAGATGCGGCAGCAGTAATAGTTTTTTACTCGAATAGGCTAAAAAAGGTGATGGCAGAACAAATGAAACTCAGAGATATGTGAAAAGGTCTAATTTATACTCGCACTAACAGCCGAAAATAAAACACAAATCGAGATTATCGCAGATAGTTTAGCACGTATCAGTCTACATCCGTGATCGTTTTACGAGAAATTTGAGTGGATGAAAAAATAGGCGTTAGTATGTCATTCTCGTTTGTCATTTTCTCACACACATCAAAAATCATTCACGAAACACTTATACAGTGCAATACACGTGTTTTGGCCTTTCAGCCTCGTCAGTTGCAAGGTGCCTTTCGTATGAGCCAATCCGATCTAAGGGGAAATACCCTTACTTAGAGAAACCGCAGACGTAATATTTACAGACGCCGTTGAGTGATTAAATGGCAGAACGGGCAGTGTTGCACATGCGATTGCTCTTAGCTGATAATTTTGAAATATCATACTAATCGTTTAACAATCCCCACATTTGAACATGCTTGATAATTATTCTAACGGTAAGGCGTTCTTCCCCAAAAGAGATTTTCTCGGACGAAAAGTACCATGCAACTGACAAGGCTGAAAGGGCGAAACACGTGTATTGCACAGTGTAAGCGCCCATTACAGACCACATGGATGACCCGAAAATAATTTTCAGGCATATCAAAATTTGAGCGTGGTCTTCAAAAACACTCGAAACTAATGATATGATTCATCACATAGCTTTTAACTGATATCATAATGCAACACAAGCTACAGTACGATCAATAACTGTGATCTAAAAAAACCACCTCCCTACACCTTCGCTAAATACTGATTACTTAAATAAGTATCAGTTTCTGTATGCATAGAAGTTCGAGCAGTTAGACAATTCATAAGAATCAAGTGCTGGTTGAGTCATGAGTGTTGGCTGAGATGATAGTCGAGTATCTGTGGAGAGGTAATGTCAATAATATTCTGCATTTTGTGACCTCATTCAAAAAGTTTATATGTGGTCGTGTGGGCAGTTATCGTTGCATCAAAGATCTAAAACAAACAAACAATATAGCCAATCTTCACAACAATTTTCTTCGCCATTTTTGACGTTCTTCTTATCGATCTCATTATTCACTTGGTATTTTCAGAAGTGTAGCTATACAATGTTATAAAAACTTGAGATCTCCACTGTCATCTTCTTGTTCACCTAGCTTTGTTCTTCTCCAATGCATATTTCTCAAATTCTACGCTTTCCAGAAAAATGAAAGCTTCTCAGTGCAAAATCTGCTGATGTCATTAATTCGCAAATCGAAATCGTTTGACTTCCAAATAAATGGTATTTCAAGGCGCAGTTTTGACGTGGTAAACATAAAATGTCAAAAGAATCTTATTACGTCCCACTTTCAACTGTTTTCTTACAAATGGCTGCTTCTTTTGCTATCATCTAGAGAAAGGAAAGTCGTTGAATTCATCATCTTCTACTTTATGAACACTGATGCACATGGTTCCCTGCAAATCTCGCAAACATCTGCGCGGATTCTATTGAATTCGCCGATTTATTGACCATGATTCCATCTTCTAAAGGCTACCTTTTTCCAGTTTACGATTTCTTCTATAACAAAGGTAAAAGACAGCCAGAAAAATGCGATGATCTCAAAAAATCAGTTAGAAACGCATTCATATTACTGATGCCAAATAAATACTGACTTCAATGCGCTTTCAATTGACGCGCCTATGGGATACAATTTCGTTGCTGGTCATCACCTCTGTGACTGTATGGTACGGAATGGGTTGAAGGATAAAAGGTAAAGCGTTGGAGTTGATCAGTGTCTGGGAAATATGTCGTCCATTGAGCTGAATTACTGAGCATCTCTGAAATGACTGAATGCATATTCGGCTTGTAGCTTGTCGCGATCTACCAATATAGAGCAATCCGAGATTGTGCGTCTCCTCGACAAATCTGTTCTGATTTGCCAATCCCAAAGGAATGGCGGGCTTGATTCGGGGTGGGGAGTTCGAACCACGAACCATTCATTAACCTCTACAGGGTCACGTTGACCATCAATATATCTTTTTCTGCTTTTCGATCAAGTACCTTTTTGTCAGTCGTCTTTTACTAGACAAAAATCGATCTTACCAGCTGTACTTACAAGCTGTTCAAGCAAAAACGAATTGTTTGCACAAGTTTCCATAAATTCGATAGTCGATACTATTTGTATAAATATCAATCAATCTTTGTTATCGCAGTATATAAAACAACAATAGAGCGCTCACTGCACATTTCCTTTGCTTATCATCCCTCATAATCATTATTATCAACTACTAGAACAATTTTCAATATTATTGTCGTTTTATTATAACTGTATGAGAACAATGCCATAATGCGGGCGATAACAGTTCTATCGTTTGAATGTATAAAATATTCTCATGTCCTAAGAGATTTAATAATATTTCGATAGCTTTTGAGGTTTTTGATAGATTTTTTGAAATCTTCATTAGTTTAATAAGCACCTGTCTTTTTAGTCTAGAGCAATCTAAAACTACGAGATGCGATTCCATACTTGTACCACAAGGTTGCTCAATAAGTTGAAGAAACAATGCTAGAAATGAAAAAAGCTAAAACCAAGGTATACAGAAAGCATATAGATTGTGAAAGAAAAAGGAAATCAATAATGAGCATTCTTCTATATAACAACTAGTGATAATCATTGATTTCGCTTGAATAAGTGAAATTTTTTTTGCAGACATACTTTTATAATACTCACGAATTCTAGTTTTTTCTACTGCATTTTTCTTTTCGCAGTGTTATAAATTTTCATAGATACCCAAGCGAACTGAGAGGTGAGCAAAAGTGCGAGCTCAGACGAGAGCAGAACCCACTTTTCATTCATACCGGGGACGAGTGCTACCACTTCACCATCGAATCACATTGGAACCATTTCCAAGTAGAATGATGGCTGTATCCCTTAAGCTTACAAGCGCGCTTTCTCTGGTTAGAAGATTAAAAGGATAAGAACTATCTTTGGATAAATCAGAAATGATTTCATTAAATTGCCACTTGCGGTGGTATGATGTTACAATATACTCAATAAGGTGGAGTGCTGTGCAAAAATATTTGCGTCAGCCGGGATTCGACCCAGATCTCACTCTTACCGGGAGCGTATGCTAACCGTTGCACCACCGACGCACGTTTGGCAGAGCACTATTTTAACGTTACAACGCGTTATCTGTTAACAGCCATCCGTCGACGGTCTGGCGGGGCAGTCGCTATCGGCATTTAGCCCACTTGTGCTGACAGATATTGGTTATCAATAATCAATCAGGAAAATCAACTACAATGTCAACGTCCAAAGGAGCTCTTTGTGCATCGTTAGTTCCGTCATCGTCATCCTTAGAAAATTGTGAAGTGTGCACGTTTTTGGCCGCGCTCGCGTCTGATTAGTTACCAGCGTACCCTTCAGCGCTTACAGCCAAGCCTTGGAGCATGCTTTTCAATTTTCATCTTCAGAAGTTTCACAGTCTTCTCCTCCTGAGGCTTGACCGCTTTCTTCTCTTGACAGTCGGCGCCGAAAGGTAAGCTCTCGAATATTTGCAAATATTATAGCAAATTGTAGTTGTAATGGAGCAATAAACTCACTCGATAGTAGGATGAAGAAGAAAAGCGAGTACTCGTAAGCAGCTAAAACCAAGACGATAACGATGTGACAGCTAGTTAGTGAGTGTGCTACAGAGCAAACAAAAAAAATCATATATTCTTACCTTCGCGCATAAGCTCTATGGCTTTGATCTATGTGATTGATTTACTTGATCTACACATCTGGTAAAAGCTCGCAATACGTCTTTGGATGGCAGTGTGTAAGGTTTCAAGTTTCACTAGTGTGTAAGACCTCCGATTCAAAGTAGTTATTCAGGCATCACTTCTCTCACAATATCAACAACTAGCAGCTTCACAAAATTCTTCTTACCTACGGATCCAGTTTCTCACTGTAAATCAGAAAATTGACGTAATTATACGCGATATAATTACATTACACAGAATATGCTATGGCTAGGTTAGCCCGTAGCTAATGTGAAATCACCATAATTCGTGAACTAGACACAGCAGCCAATCCAGCGCGCTGTCGGAGTATCAGGCTTCGATTGTCAGGAAAAAATAGATTTCTATACTCAGACTATAAACAAACCTTGGATTTGCTGGAACAATGATAAAATGGGTAGCCTGCTATACTTAGTAGCTCTCCTGATTACGATCGACTCTTTTTGGACAGAAATGTTCTGTAATCCATGAGTTTACATCTTCATCGTGTGCATCATTATTTAATTTATAAAAAATGAACGATTCCATGCTACAGAAACTTGGTTATGCTAAGAATTATCGATGACCTGGCATCGCATAAATAGTGCAACAGCTTCTCTGACATACTGTTCATTGTTCTACAATTTCCAGCCACTATTACAACTCTTAAGTGTTGTCTATAATAAAATGTATCAAACTGATCGATAAATATATCATTATGTTCTTTGTACAGCTTATTACGATTGACAGAATGTCATTATCACTGTGATTTCGTAGTAAAAAAAAAGCTGTTCGTTTCAAATATGAGCGTTATTTTGCACTAAAAGCATTCGAATGTGTAGAGAAAATCTTGACCTATCGAACTATTCCCAAAAACCCCAGGATTTTATCCAAAACGATGAAAAAACTCTAATCAAAAACCAAAAACGGCGATTTGCACTGCGTGTGGCTATCACAACTGGTGGTCACGGAAGGGTTAATTGTCTGGATGCATCTCCGAAGTCTCACACGCGCTGGGTATCTTCTATAGTTCCCAATTAAAGTCATTACTGTTTTCAAGAAAACCGAAATCTCTGGCGTATTGATTATAGCAAAGTTTTGCAACACCTCGCGTAAGTGTTTCAAAAGCGAGATAAATATGATATGAGTAAAAGCTTGCGTCTCTGCAATCCTAATTCCTGATAATTGTCATTTGAACCAACATGTCATGTGATCTGTTGAGGGCACTTGTACATCCCGATACACGTGTTTCGGCCCTAGCAGCCTCGTCAGTCGGGCAGGTCTTTCAACTTTAGCCAGTCCTCTGAAGGGTAAACCACACCCATATGTGGCGAAGGGCCTACCCAACTAACGAAGCTGCCAAGGCCCAAACCTGTGTATCGAACTGTACATTGCCCATAACATGTCACATGACATGTTGGTGTAAGTAATAATTATCAGATATATCGAAATTTGAGCGTAGTCTTAAGAAAACGCTTGAAACAAACGGCAGAACTCTATTTTCGTTTTCAAATGGCCAGCTCTAGGTATGGATGCCTGTGTTTCATCTCAAACCTTTGAATCTTTATTCTATTCAGTCAAAAGCCGTCTTTAATGAAACAATCATATCGAACAGAAGAATTAACTAACTCATTACTACACCGAGTAAAATATTTAATGACTTCAGAATTAATCAACATTATGGTATCTAATTCTTCTTGAAACATTCGTTTTTCTCTGTTTTTAGTTCACGCTCTGAATAGCTCGTGACCATGTTTGTTGTCGAAAACGATGACTCTTCTTCCCAGTCCCAGTGCTCATTCATACGAATCCCTTTTCGTCTCTGATCTAAATTATGGACACGGCCTTGTGGCAATTACATTACCAAATTCATCTACTTTATTTGATAACACCTTTTATATGCAGGATGAGGAGAAAGGTTCAACACTGGCGAAAAATTTAAATTATGTTTGTTCCACACAGGGTCACTTATTGTAAATCACGGAAACATCTCGTGAATAAAATACACTCCCTTTCCTCCTCTGGAATATATACTCCGAATTTTAGTACCTGGTATTGATTGCTTATGCTTTTAACTGGATCTATGTGCAAACTTTAAATTTTCAGCAGCTGCTGACGGACTTTTTCCTTGACCTAACACATTCACCTTTTCAAAAATGCGAAAACTAGATGCTTTTAGCAATTTCTTTATATTAGCGGTGATATATTCAACATTTTCACTGTGGCAGCGTCTTATACTGCCAATGACAGTGTATGAAGCAAAAGCATAGCAAGCATTGAATTTACCACTCTCGTACGCTAACTCACAGTAGCTTAGAGAGCTGAGATGCCTATTTCAAATTATGATTTATTGAGTTCAAAAACGTAACTATTTCGACATTTTCTCTTTATTACCGTGAAACTTTCTATTTCTGAAGATCCATTAATTGAACAATCCACTATGGTAAGCATCTGGCTGAATTGTTTCGGGGTTTCAAAGAGAAATTGTATTCGACCAGCTGCTCGAGCTGCTTGTTTTTCTGCACACCGCATTTCGTTCTATAAGGAATGTTGTTACATACGAATTTAATGTCTATGAGTGCTAGCCTTCAGGTCCAATCAATGGCGAAAATCATTTGTGTGTCCATCTCAAAATACGCTCTCCTTCCGTTCTCGCACAGTTTTTATGTTCATTTGGATGAATTTTTAATGAACAAAAGCAAAGACACTATTCAAAATTGTCAATTGCGAGATATCGCCATCTAGAAGCTAATTTGACTGGCATATTCATCAAGTCTGTTCTCGACACTACTTATGACTTCGAAAAGGAGTTGATCAGGCATTTAAGATGCCCTCTATTTCGACAAGTACTTTGTTTTCATTCTCTAATCTCCCTTGATCAAAAAGCCTCAACCAAAGCGATTTGCTTGACTTTTTGACTTGTTTCAGGTACAGGCGTCGTGCAAAGTAGGTGAGTTCTGATTATGGATTTGCTACCACTGCCTTTACGAGTTCACTTGCATTTTCAGCATCTATACAGACATACCGAATAATGTGGAGTGCTGTGCAAAAACATTTGCGTCAGCCACGATTCGAACCCAGATCACACTCTTTCCGGGAGCGTATGCTAACCGTTGCACCACCGACGCTCGTTTTACGCAGCACTCTTTTTACGCTACAACGTGTTATCTGCTAGCAGCCAACCGTCGAAGGTCTGGCGGAGCAGTCGCTAAACGAAAAGAAGTATTGCATGACATTGACAGCTACGGCTCGGTCCTTCTCCTTTCTATCATCTGTAAGCCTTTTATGAGTTATCTGGAGGTAAACTGTCAGAATACGAGACATTAGTGAGTCTGCGAACATTTATAGTTGCCACATGAGTTCTAATATTATGTTGGAATAGAGCTTGATACTCTAGACATTCGATATTCGCTGCGCATATGCACTTCATGTTATATAACAGCTTCAAAATCGGTATCCCGCTGTTTTGCATTTTATCGCCGGTGTGAGAAAGAAGGTATGACAACGTGCGTCCATCTAATAACGTTTTTGACGACACTCTTGAACTGTTTGTGTGAAAATTGCAGTATAACAAGTAGAAGCAGAAATAGATCACCTGTATCACCTGTCGTCCCGTTGATCGTCGAGTGACTCGAGCGGGTACCAGCAATTCTTCCATTTTTCCCTATCGCGTGCGAGAGTAGCCCAGTGGGTTCTCCTCGCTCTAGGGATTCGCTGAGCATCATATCTTTCTTCTATCGCTTTCGTTAAGAAATCGGACCAACGGGTCAGTGGTCTTCCTTTAGAGCGCTTGACGTCCCGAGGAATCCAGTCGGTAACGGCTCTCGTCCATCGGTTGTCGTTGAAGCGCATCACGTGTCCGGCCCACCTTATTTTCGATATCCTGGCGTGTAGAACGGCGCCTCTGATTTTCGATCGTTGACATAAGTCGGAACTTCGGATCCTTTCTCTCATTTGCAAGATACGGGGTACTCCTAGCATCGACCTTTCGACTGCGCGTTCGATAACGCCAAGTGATCTTTCATCCTGCTTACGTATCGACCAGGTTTCTGCTGCATACGTCAGGGCAGGGATATTTGTCGAGTCGAAAAGGTGGGCACGGAGTCGGATGTTCTTTGTCCTCTTCACTGCATCTTCGATGCTCTTAAACGTTCCCCAAGCCGCTCGTTTCCTCCTGCTTAACTCTGGAGCTAGGTCGTTCATCATGTTGATTTCACGACCTAGATAGACGTAACTGGAGCATTCGGAGATTGTCGTTCCGTTGAGCGTGAATGGGGCATTAGAAACCCATCCGTTCCTCATGAACATTGTTTTCGTTAGATTCAGTTGAAGACCAATCTTTCCATAGGCGTTATCGAAATCGGTCAACATTCGTTCCGCTTGGCTGATGT